GTTTAATTTGCATGTCAACGCAATCATTTGACATTTTGACAGGAAACGGAGGGGGGCAGGGGGTGCGGCAAATGAGGGGAGAGCGGAGAGTGGAGAATGGTGTGCGGAGGCTAGTTCAAGTTGAATGTCGCGCCTGCGCGTCTCATATTACAAATTAAACATTGACAATGTCATGTCGGTGTTGTTCCCTACCCATTCCTCTTGGCTAAACAAAATCAAATTACGCTCTGACAAATTTACTTGTTGAACGAGATATATCCATGGGGAGACAGCATGAGATTGCTGCTCAGAACACCTCCGCAAATTGAGGAGAAAATGCCAGCCCTGGCCCTTGGGCAAATGCAAAGATACGATACTTTGAAATGTTGCCAAGTGGGGAGCAAGCGTATTTGTTGTGTGGGGGGGAGAAAGTGTTTTTGCAGCCTACTTGTTTGGCTTTCAGGCAATTGGATTTGTGTGTACCTCCTCTTGAAAAAATAATACCAATTTCAGATAGAGGCAAGTGCAGAAGGGCCTAGAAATGAGATTACACGTGATACAGGGGTTTACTGCTTCAACAAAAGGACTAACAGGTGTATGCTAATGAATTCCGTATCACAGCATCACAATTTTGATAGCCAACAATGCAGTTCCTCTGGCACTGAGTCCCCCCTCAATCAGATGCAATTTTCTGCCCAGATTGAGCTGCTGGTAATCAAGAGACTTTGTTTATGCATGATTCTATTTTGACAAATGAGTACTGCGAGTGGTAAAACTCATCCAAACAGAGCCCATCCGAAATGGTTTCTTATTTATTTATTTGAACACATTTTCCAATCACATGCAAAGCAGCGGCCCCAGATGATGTCTATGATTGGAAATAAACAAAAGGCCATAACCATTTCGTTTCTGCTTTCATACAATTACCCCAGATCTGACACTAACCCCCTCAACCCCCAACCACCAACAAGACCCTGTCGATGGGGAATGTGAAGTAAATAAACGCGACCATATCCACAGCCCTGTCAAGTGGAAAATCATTGACAAATTTATGAATCCAGTGGCACATGTAAATATACATGCATATATGTACACTCGTATGATCGTATATTTTTCCGAGTTCCAGAGCCAGCGGCAAACATAATGGTACAAATTTCATTAACAAATCGACACCGCACAACAGTCTCATTACTTGGCAACAAATAAATTGTATTTAGTACACTTTTCGCCGTTTTTTTCCCGCATTTTATTTACGATTTTTCATTAAACTCATTCAATCCCCTTCTCTGCGGGACTTATGATGTTGACCAAACATTCGGTATTCGCCATTCGGAGTATATCCATTAATGTTGTGTGTTTGTTGCAGTCAGCTTTCTGCAGTCGGAAAAAATATGAAAATTTCATTGGAAATGTTTGCGTAAAAGCACTCGTGTGGCCAGCCATGGCCAGGCCATTGCAAGGGTCATTCATTCAGTTGGAGAGTCGAAAGCTTATACAGCTAATTAATCTGATGAGTTTTTAAAATAACGTCCATACAAATTCACTCAAACGAGATTGCATTCACGCAAAGAAGAAGAGAGCGGACTGATTCACACCGCAATTTAATTGAAATTGAAACTTACCTCCAGACAAAATCAGGCTCGTAAATTGGGAGACGGCACGGTACGGTGCTGCCCACGCCCAAGACAAATTACCTTAAATCTTGTGAAAATTAATATTCAACAGAGGGACCCGCAGCAGCAGCAGCAGCAGCATTTGACAGCGGAAATGGTTGAGTGTTTTCCCAAGAAAAGTCGCCGCGCGTCATCGGCTTCACAGAGAACTATAGACACCAAATCGCACTGGCATCGGGCGCTGTCCAGGAGCGGACCACAGGTCTAGCAGCAGGCTAGAGGCGGTGTATGGCCAAAATCGACTAATTTTAACAATGATGTAAGTTGTCGCAATCGGGCGACTAACAAAGGCAGCGGCCACACGGTTTTTTGGCCAGGAGCCCAGTTCTTTTTCTTCTTCTCTTTTTTGACAAACGCGCAAGTGGTAAAAATTGTGTGTTAAACGTTTCTGAATTGACTTGACGCGACCGGGCAGAGAGGACCCAGACCCAGACCCAGACCGAGACCGAGACCTCAGACCAGGGGCAGGCAGCTGCTGCCATCCCGACGAACGTGCGCCAAGTCGCGATGCTTGCCAAAAAACATAAAAAATATGAAGATTACGAGAAGATGGCATCATTTAATGATGAAGTGCCTGGCTGGTCACTGGGGGATGGAAAAACTGGAACTTTTAGTGGAAGGAAACTCATATTGATACGAATGGATTGGAAGTGATTCACACGCCGGATATGTCACTATTACAACAATTACAATTACTCGATTGACAGCTGCAATTCCCGGGCCTAGGACAACAACTGCTGGGATGGGAGTGTGGGGGCAAGCAAATAGTTTCGCAATTGCATTTTTGTGGCGCAAATTAAAAACATATTGTCAGTGGCATTAGCGGGCAGGCGTCACACCACTCTCTTGAGAGCTAAAAATAACAGAAATGCGAGAGAACTGCCTCTCCAGAGCAGGAGTACGTGTGTGTGCTATTTGTCTCCTCAGGAACTCCTCCTCCAGCCTCTGTAGAGCCAGGCAAATGACTTGCCTTAATAAATTTAGCTCATGCTCTCGCGTACTTACTGTACTTTCCGCCCGCCTGCCAAGCCAAAGTAAAGGGGGAAAAATAAGAACAAAAAACCAAAAAAAAACGAGGGGGAACGTTGTGAGTTGCTGCGGACACCGCAACTCTACGGTTATACCCGATACTAAGTCAGTATGGCTCTCCTTCGGCAGACGCCGCTAATATTTAACGACACGACAAAGAGTGCGTGCGAGAGAGACAGAAAATCAGTCTGGGCGTGACGTCGGGCGCTGCGTAGCCACTGCAAATTGATTTGTTCCTTTTGGCTATAAAAATGATCTGATCTGATCCAGATTCAGCAATCTAATAGATATGGTCGGTATCTATGATTCTGCGTTTTTAGTTTTCTCAAATCTGCAATATTGTGGATGCAACAGATTTTCGTCCTTTGTGGGTGCGGAAGGGGGTGGGGCGAAATTTTGAGATAAAGGTTTTATAGTGAGATCTAACAGAAGTGCGGATACCAAATTTGGTTACTCTAGCTTTAATAGTCTCTGAGATTTGTGAATATCCCCAGATTTGCATCCTTTGCGGGGGCGGAAGGGGGTGTGGCGAAATTTTGAAACAAACTCGTCTCGGTCCGATATACTAGGAGTGTGGATACCAAATTTGGTTGCTCTAGCTTTTATAGTCTCTGAGATCTAGGCGCTAATGTTTTACTCTAAGCAAAGCCGCCTATGCTACCTGTGTGTTAGAGAGAGACAGGGCGAGAAAAAATGAAATTGTTTTCTTGATGGTGGCTATAATAGTAATACGATCCAATTCAGATTCTGCAGTCTAAAAGATATGGTCATTCTCTACGATTCTGCGTTTTTTGTTTTCTCGTATCTTTAAAATTGTGGATGCCACAGATTTTCGCCCTTTGTGGGGGCGGAAGTGGGCGGGGCAAAGTTTTGAAATATTTTTGTAGCAGTGACATATCACAGAAGTCTGGATCCAAAACATCGTTGCTCTAGCTCTTATAGTCTTTGAGCATTAGGCGCTGAAGGGGACGGACAGACGGACAGACGGACGGACGGACAGACGGACAGACGGACAGACGGACAGACAGACATGGCTCAATCGACTCGGCTATTGATGCTGATCAAGAATATATATACTTTATGGGGTCGGAAACGATTCCTTCTGGACGTTACACACATCCACTTTTACCACAAATCTAATATACCCCAATACTCATTTTGAGTATCGGGTATAAAAATGGGGAATTATGTGGCAATAAAAAATAGTGCTAAAACATTCGACAGCCTAGCTGCAGCAACAACAACAACAAGTAGCACAAGAGCATTATTGCAACGATGACGATGCAGAGGAAAGCAAGAGCACACTTGCACGCCATGTGTGCAGTGGCAAGATCGGGAGGCAGCAGCAGCAGCAGCGGCAGCGGCACACAGGCAATTGCCATCGCCGTCGCCCGCTGGAAATGTGCGCGGAGAGGCAGGAGAGATATCAGGCAGTGCCACGGTCAAGTGCTCGGTGGAAAATTCGGCAGCAGGAAGATCAAGATGAATCATATGTGTATTTTATATGCATAGCTCCAGCTTCTGAGTGGTTTATAGTATCTTGAATAATAATTAATTACTTGCGCTGAAGATTCTTTTCAAAAGAGTTCGTCAAGTAGGTAACTGCTTGTAGAGGCAAGCAGTCAAAGTCGTGAATGCAGGAACAGGAAATTTAACTGCTTGTGTGGAGTACAGCAGTTGAAGCTCTACTGCAAGCAGTATTTCAAGCAGCTAAATGTAATATCGACAAGAGCATCCTCTTATTTTGTATCCAATTTTCCCGTGACCAATAGTTTCCCTTTCTGGATCATCGCATTTCCCACCGGGCACTCTGCTCACGACTCACGCATAATTTTCTATACACAAACATAAGCCTAAAATAACAGTATTAACAAAAACAACAGCAACAGTACTAAAACACGACAGGAAAACCGTGACATAGACAGAGAGGGACGCACTGAAAGTGAGGGTGGATGGGGGGACAAAGGCAGGGGTAAGTCGCAGCAGCAGCAGCAGCTACAGTAGTGCGATCAGAAGAGTGAGGGGAAGCGGGAGCACATGTGCGTGCCAAAGAAGGAAAACCAAGAAGAGTGCCACACCGATCATGGCAGAGGCCGCCGAGCCGAGGCAGAGTGTCGCAGCAGAGGCAGGATCCAACGCTGCTCCCGTACCCGTACCCCTGCCCCTACCCGTCCCGCTCCCGTATCGTAACCATTCCGCTCCCATTCCCGTTCCGGGCATTTAAAAACCGTGCGGCACCAGCGCTGCGGGTTATTGTCAGATAGAACGCGGTGGCGTGAACATCACACAAGTACCAAGAACTAATGAGAGCCAAAGAACAGCGATTATCGAAATAGAAAAACTCTCGTCTTGCCGTCCGAGTGTGTGTGTGAGTGTGCCGTGGTGTGAGTGTTTCAGTGTGCGTGTGTTCTTTTGGGATTTCCCGCGTTCTGTGACCATAAAAAATATTGGCACTTTTCCCAACTTGGACAATACTCGTACGCTGCCAAATCGTAGAGCAGAGCCAGACAACTGCCGGAAATGCGAAAGTGAAAGCGGTCGCCTTTCGTGACACAAAATATAAAAAAAAGCAGAAAATCGTCACCCATACTCGTAATATGTCTTCCACGCTCAAGTCCCAACAACTGCCACTGAGCATTCCCAGCCACAACGGCGGCGGAGGCGGCATCGGTGGCATGTACGTGAAGACAGCACCATCGATGCCAGGCAAGGCCTTCGAGGAGAACACTTGCTACGGCGCCTTCATGTCACCCCCGCTGAGTGCCACAATTGGAGGCGGCTCGAATCGGGGCCAGGACACCTTTCGGGCCCCGCTAAAGGTGGAGCCAGCCGGCAGCGATGGCTACAATAACTTTGCCACCGGGGAGCTTCAGTTTCCGGACTTTTCGCACCTCTGCTTTGCCGCCGAGACACCCAATTCGGTGTTCAGCGACTGCCACAACTATGTGGGGCAGGATCAGGACTTCGACCAGGACCACGATGATATTGTGTGCGCCTCGGCGGACCACACGGGCGGTATGCCGTACCAGCAGGGCCAGTACACACAGCTCAATCGCGAGGATATCTTCCGCTTCGAGCCGGAGGACATTGCTCGGCTAACGGGGGAGCCTGACTTTTCCGGACTGATGCAGCCGCCGCCGTCGACGCCCTACACTCCCTACACGCCCTGCAGCGCCCAGTCCAGCCAGGTGACTGCCTCGTCTCTGGCTGCCACGCAGGCCGACTCCATTAATCTGGATATTGATTATTTTAATTATGATGAAATTAATTGCCAATCGAAAAACCAATCACCGTGCTCATCACCGCACCTGGATGCCTGGTTGAATTTCAATCTCGGCGAGATGTCAGTCACCGCCACGGCAGATACATCCGCCACGGCCACATCCACGGCAGCCACATCATCGCCCAAACTGTGCAACATGTACGACGGCCTGCTGCAGCCCATCAAGCAGGAGCCCTCGCCCACAAGGCTGCCATCGATGAGCTCCACATTCGGGACTCCCAAATGCATTCCCATGTGCGCCAGCAATTACGAGGATTACTCGAATCTCTATTCCGGCCCGGGGTCGCAGTTTGCGGCCGAAAATTATCAAAATAATATGTCGCACGCCATCGAAAAGCCGAACCGTGAACACAAAACCATCTGGACCATTGACGAGCTCGACGAGCTGATGCTGGGCGGCGACCAGGGCACCAAATCCGATATGGCTAATTATTTTGCGGATGAGTTGATCAAAACTGAGGCTTTGGAGCCGGCAATGGGTATGGGTATGGGCAACGCGGACAGCGAGGACGATGACAATGAGAATGAGGTGGAACACGACGACCTCGACAACGAGGTTTTTGTCCAGCCCAGCGAGATCAAGCCGGAGAGCTGCTGCGATGCGGAGGTGGAGCTGGAGGTGGAGGCGGAGGCGGAGGCAGAGGCCGAGCCACTGCCACTCATCTGTCGCTGGACTGGGTGCAATGTGGAGTTCCCTCATCAGCAGGCCTTCGTGGAGCACATCGAGAAGTGTCATGTCGATGTGCGCAAGGGAGAGGACTTCTCCTGCTTCTGGCTCGACTGTCCCAGGCGCTACAAGCCGTTCAATGCCCGCTACAAATTGCTCATTCACATGCGTGTCCACAGCGGCGAAAAGCCCAATAAATGTCCGGTACGTATTGCTGCTACATCGCAATCTCAATCCCAGTCTCAATCCCAGTCCCAATCCAGTGAAAACCTTTCCAATCTCGTGTAGAATACCATTTTTCAAAATCACAAGACAAGAGGCGTTTATATTTTTTTTTTCCAGCACAGCTGCTGGCTATATTTGTTTATGTTGAGAGACTACGTTTCTAAACAAGATTTTTCCACTCAAGGATCGTCTGCTCTAGACCCAATCCCAACCCCAACCCCAACCCCAACACGATTGCTGTGTTAGTTTGCTGTTGTGATGCCCGGTATTCGGGTAGTCAAAGGGTATATTCAGTAGATGTAAAGAAATACTAGTGAGGGATTTTGAAAGCATTTTTGCCTTTCTATCTTTTGTGAGAGCCTTACCAAAGGACTTCACAAATACTTGTAGAGGGTATTTTATAGTCGACTAAACGGTTTGTTTTGCCTTTTATCATGCACGTGTTGACATTTGATGCGGCATTGGAGCTGCCATCGCTCTCAGATGATGAATTGTGCGGCGCAAAGCAATCACAGAAATTGACAGAGTCAGAGCGTAAGGCCGGGGGCCCCAGGCCCGAGTCGCAGGATTCGAAAGGAGTCCACTTGAAATAGAGTTGTGCTGGTAATGATATTAGGGGGCACACACGCACACATGCACACACACGCACACACACGCAAACAAACCTACGCCGTGACTCTATCTTCTACGTCCCATCGCTCTATCCGGCATGCTCTTTCATTTTGATTTTTGAGTAATTGATGGATTCTTGGTTGTTTTTGGGCTAAAAAATACCCCCACTCAGCGACCCATGTCCGTCATCAACTTGGAGCCTTTGCCATTACACTTGTGTTCCTGTTTCTGCTCCTGTTCCTGCTTCTGTTGCAAAAGCGTAATTTGGCCTTTGAATGGGCGTGTGTGTGTGTGTGTGTGGCGGTGTGTGGGGGTGTATGACAGGTGTGCGAGAGGACACTGTGGAAGTGGCTACCTGCGACACCTGGGGGCCAGGACCAGCAACATCGAGGTCACAATTTCATACGTCCTTCGGACACTCAACTCAACTCAACTCCACTTCACTCCACTCGACTCAACTCAATCTCCCTCTCTCTGTCGCACCGGCTTTCCCCCCACTTGTGCTGCGGCAGTAATTGCAATTTTCGATGACACTTTTCATTTTTTTGTTGTTGTATTTTTTCCATTACAGTTTCCCGGCTGCAATAAAGCATTCTCGCGTTTGGAAAATTTGAAAATTCATCAACGCTCGCACACGGGGGAACGGCCTTATGGCTGTCAGTATAAAGGTTGCCTCAAAGCGTTCAGCAATAGTTCGGATCGGGCGAAACATCAAAGGACCCACTACGACACGGTGAGTACACGCCCAGCCCCACCAGCCCCCCTCTGTTCCAGCGTGTATGTGTGAGTGCGTGGGGCAAGCAATTTGCAATGCGTGTCAAAAGGAAATTGAAGAGCTCGCTGCCGGAGGGGCAGCAAGATGCAGTTGGGGACCCAAGCGCAGCTTTAAGATTTAATGGATGCCAAGGCGCTTAGCGGCACAGCCCAGACAGCTGAGACAGAGTCACTTAAACAACAACAACAACAACAAAACGAACAAAAAAGATACAAGGGAAGGCTATAAACGGGGGTCGCTGCCTCAGATACCCTGGCAGATCCGAGGGTCTGTGATACAGTCATACAATTTAGTCACAAAACTGCATCTGGGTGGGATAATCTTTTGAAATGCACTGACAGACCTTTCTGATATACTGATTTGCATAGAAACAGGAGCAGATTGATGCATACCCTCAGCAAGGGTACAAAAAGTGTGGCACAGTTGCTCCTGCTGCTCCTGCTGCTGCTGCTGCTATTGTGGCTGCCACTGTTGCTGCTGCTGCCAGCATGACATGTGCACATTTCGCATTTCGCTGCCTGAGTGATTTATAGTTTTGCCTCGGTGTGCGTGTGTGTGTAGTCAAGGCCCGGTGGCAAAAGTAACAGCCTCGGCAAGGGCCACGGCAACAGCTAGCACGGTAGCAACAGCACGGCAGCAGCAGCGGCAGGAGCAATAGCAGCAGCCGCGTTAGCGCGTAGGACAACCGGAAAAAAGGTCAAAACCAGCATGAAGGACCGGGCCAGGCCAGGCCAGGACCCGGCCAGGCAGCTGGAGGAAAATCGAATAAACTAAACGAGTTACTAGCCCCGCACTAGGTGCAGTGTCAGGGCGGGGGCGGTGGCGGGGGCAGCCAATCAGGATCAGAAAAGGATACAATGTGTGGATGGGTCGGTGGGGTGGGTGTTTTTTCCGATGCTCCTGGTGCCCGCGGACAGGACACAGGACACAGCAGCATTGCCAGAACAAACAAAATGCATCATGACATTTCAAAACGATTTGACTTGGCAAATATGCCAAGCCATATGCAGGCAGGTCCTCCTCTCTGTATTGTGTGTGTGTGTGTGTGTTTGGATGTGTGTGTTGGGGGGGGTGGGGACCAATCAATTGCATACTTTTAGGTAGCAGCAACAGCTACATATTGTGCCGGAGCCGCTGTTGCGGTGGTCTCCATTGAAGCTGGCAAATATTAATGCAACGCTCTCTCTCTCTCTCTCGTCTCCATTCGCGCTCTATTGAAACAGAAACCGTATGCCTGCCAGCTGCCGGGATGCACCAAGCGCTACACGGATCCCTCCAGCCTGCGCAAACATGTCAAGAATCACGCGCTGCGCAATGCCAATGGACAGCTGGTGCGCCGCAAATCTGCCGGCGGCGGGGCTGGCCCATCGAATGGCAATGGCGCCTGCAGCAAGAAGGCGGCCAAAACACGCCGTCACTCAGAGTCGGCCCTGGCCCAGGCCCAGGCCCAGGCCCTGGGCGGTGGGGCGCCCTTAGGTGCGACGACAGGTGCGGCGGTGGCGGCGGCGACAGGTGAGCAGCATCGACAGCACCGCAGCAATAGTTGCAGCGATTCGATGCTTCACATCGAGAACGGCCCGACGACTGCGGACAGGACAAACCGCAATGTCTGCGGCAATGTTGCAGCTAATAACAATTCAATGAACTTTAATGAGTTGTCAAATTGCATTGTCATCATTGAGCACAATCAGAATGAGGCAACATCGGCAGGAGCAGGAGGCCATAACGTGGCAACCACAGTACAGACAACAGCATCATCATCGGCATCGGCATCGGCAGCGGCAGCGACAGCGGCAACAACATATGCTCTTTACGATGCCGGCAGCAGCAACATGGCGCCCGCAACGGAAACGGATGCGCTGAGCGTTTGCAGCAGCAATAGCAGCAATAACAACAATTACAATGGCGGCTACAGCGACAGCCATGAAAATATTAATCAATTAAGCGAGCTCGAACAATTGCTGACAGCAGCGAATGGGCACAGTCCGGGCCCTCGTCCGGGTCCGGGTCGGGGCAATGCCGAGCCGGCAGTTTCCTCAGCCGCTAATGGGATTAGCACAGAGGGCGGCAGCGGCAGCGCCAGCGGCAGCATCGACAGCAAATGCCATTTGAGCGAGTTTGTGTCGTTCGAGTACGTGACAAAGTATATGGCCGACACGTACGACCCCACTTCCAGTGGGCTGCGGTCCAAGAGCCCGGCAGTTCATTTGCATTTAGAATCGGAGCAGGAGTTTGATAACAATTTCGATATGCTGGACTTTCAGGAGTTCATCTGAGTTCAAACATAGGTTAAGGTTTAGTTCTAGTTAGAGCCCACCGAAAGTCAGCGAATCTGTATCCAAAGATCTCAGTGCCTGAGCCCATAAGAGACCCCCAAGACCTTTGTACATAGCATCTATCTATTAGGCATTAGAAACGTTCCTAGATGTCCCGTCGGTTCCAGTGATTAGCAGTGTCTTCCTCCAGCCTCTTCCTCAGCCCGCCATGAGAGAGGTGGAATCATCAATTTAGTTCTAGTACGTACTCTACGAGTACAGCCCTACGTTAAGTACCCTTCGAGAAGTGCCCTGTTAAAGATGCACTTTATCGCATTAATTAAATTAATTTCCATGGTTTTTTTTCCTTACGCATCTTGTTTGAATATGTAATTATATTAAAATATGCATATTAATTACTTTGCGCACTATGTGAATCAACATTTATGTGAAGTACAGCAAAAAAATACACAGAAATAACAGACAATATAAAGAATATACGAGTAAAGTTAATGTTTCGGATTAAAACGGATTTAATGCAAAAACCATACAATGGAAAGGTGTTGAACTGAATGCTGAAATGGTGAGTATACATAAAACTTAATCAGGAATCTCTCAGTGCCACCCTTCTATGGCACTACATTTGGTTGGACCCATAAATTTTTATTGGTGGATAAGAAACCTTAAAAAATTATCACAGAGAGAACCCTGCAGGCTCTTTTTTCTGCTCTGAGCCCATAATAAATCTGATATATATGCCATTTATTGCAGCTGGAAGATATGTACGTGCAATTCCACCAATCATTCCCTTTAGCATATGCACTCCTGGGTAGCCATTTGACCCTTAGGATCCCCCTCGATCCCCTTCCGATATATGCATATTACACCTGGCCCGCGAAGCAGAAAAACACGGAAAGGGAGCCACGAACAACATGCTGGGATTTCCGTTTCATGTTTGCCCGCCTGACTTCACTTAATTGCTGTGCATTCAAAAAATAATTTACACCAAACGGAGACTCCTCCCCCCCTCCCTCATGAACTCACTGGAGTATGTTTGTATGTATATATTTATGTAGTTAATTTATTATACGAATTTAACACATTTTCAGATTCGAATTCATTTGTCCATACACATAAATTCGAGTGCGAGTACATATTCGCATTCGCATTCGTATTCGTATTCGTATTCATTTACATTTACATTTCATATAAAATTCATAAAAATCGGCTTAAGCGTTCAATTAATTTGCGCTCACTCGCGCATTGATTTCGCATTGAATCGGTTTGGTTTTTATGGTCCCTGGGTCCTGGTTGGATGTATGTAAGTTTTCCCTAATTTGATTTAATATTACCAGCAGAGCAGTCTTTCCTTTCCCTAATGGATAGCTGCATCAGATATTACCAGTGTACGCCTCATAAATGTGAAAAGTAATGCCGTAAGCCATGATGCCACAGCGAGGCGGCAGTACTGTTGCATTGCCAATGCAATTTCACCGACTTAATAAGGCTCAAATGTCCTCTTTCGTTAACTGGCTGGAAAGTGCCCGCGGTCATGGTGCACACAGCGGGCTGTTAATGTGTAAACAACTGCCAACATATCAATGAGCAAAACGGCGCCGGGGTCCTGGGAGTAGTGGGCACTGTACAGGCCAAGCCAGAGAGGCAGTGAGGCAGTGAGGCAGTCAGGCAAAAATAAAGTGGCCAGAAGCCATGGCCCCGTTAAATGAGCAGTTAACATTGGCCGTTATGAACTTTAATATTAATAACCATTTATGCTTATGACAGACAATGAAAGCCGGCCCACACAACACCCAACCACCCAAACAGCCAACCAGCCGGCACCCACTTACCCCTTTCCGTTTCCGGTGTTCTGTTTTTGCTGTACAACCACCGCCCTAAAAATGCTTAGGGAATGGGGGCGGGTTGTCGGCCATACAGATGCATTTAAAAATGCTGCAAGTGTGCCAGTTAATATGCAGACCGACACGGGTCTTCATTACATGCCCCAAACACACACACACACACACACATGCACACTCACACATTGAGACAGACAGGGAAAACATCAACAAAATAAACAACGAAAATGCAAAGCAATTAAAAGCAGCGCCGCAGAACATAGCGGCGGCATATATCGCACATAAAACATGAGCGCACATGCACATGATTTTGACTTTTGTCGGAGCTGACTTTTTACTATCACTATGTAGTCCTCTATCTCTGTTTTTCCCTTGGTCCTGCCTTCTCTGTGTCCCGACTAGAAGACACCCGCTGTGAGAGGAGTACCACTGGGACTACAGAAGGTACAAGTTTTACTCCATTCAAACAGCACTGTAAAAAGAAGTAGAGTAGCCTCTGCTGATAGATAACTAAAAAGGAACCAATGTATCACCAGCAGAATGTATCATGGATAATGTATCAGGTCTCATCTAGAGAACGAGTAAGGGATCGTACTATTTGTACGCTGCGTTTCGAATGAATGAAATTAGGCATCACCAGCTCTACCGTAAGAAATCCATCACTGATCCCTGATCAAGTTGAGCTATTTCCCAAATACTACCCCTACGAATAAATGCCCACGTTACATCCGCCCTCTCAATGCGGTATACCCCTGGTATTAAGCATTAACTGGCCACTGGACTGCCTGCTGAGGGCTACAAGTGGTCATCGGCTGGCTTTAGAGGGTCCTGTTTTCTGTTATGGCTCCCGCCTTTTCGGATGTTAGGTTGGGCCGCAAATGAATTTTTCGCTTCCGAGGTTAAAGTGCAGAAATTGTGCACAGAGTGTGTGTGATGGCAGCTAAATATTTACTAGCTCACACACACGCACGCACACGAACACCCACGCAAACCAAACAACACACAGACACACACAACTGGAGGCTGTGAAGTTTTATGAAAATGGCTGCCGCTACCTGTACGAGTGTAGGAGTGTGTGTGTGTGTGTTTGTAGGAGTAATTGTTATACGACAGTCGCGCTCACAATTTATTTTTGTTAATCAGCAGAGCCGCACATCCCAGTCGACGGTCACGCCCTCAAATACTCGAATTCTCGTGCACACATATGCGTGGCAAGTGGCAACAATTCGACAATTATGTGGCATTTCCATTGCCGTTTTTGCTGTTCGTTTTTATTTTAATTAAAAACTCCCACCAGCCACCGCTCGCATGGAGCGTAGGATGCAAAAAGCGAACAGGTTTCAGGCTTCCCAGCCAAAGCACCCAACTCCACGTGTTAGAATTTTTGATATTTATGTGCCTCCTGCAACACAACGGAGGCACCACCAGGCAGGCGGCAGGAGGCAGGAGGCAGCAGGCAAGAGGGAGAGCTCGCTCGCCATTGCCCGGCGGCAAGTTCCACTCCGATAAGCATCTGCTGTTGCTGCCACAGGCTGCTGCTACCGCTGCTGCTGCTGCTGTGGCTCCGATTTTCAGTGCGTTTCGGCGGTTTGTTCCGCAATTATGCAAATCCAAAGATCGCCACAGAGCGATATACCAAAATTCCATGCATTTACAATTTTCTAATCAATGGAATTTTAATTTTAATTTCCAACGGAACCCAACGCCGGGAGGACTGCGGCCAGTCCTTGTTTGCAATGTGTCTTCCCAACTTTTTGTAATTGTGGTCGCAGAAATGGTTTAATTTGCTGTTTTCGGTTGGTTTCTGTGGCCGTGGGATGAATGTGATATAATGCTATATCGTAGATATATGTACATTCTACATTCATATTTCGATTCATAAAAGGAGTCAAAGGGATGTGGCTATGGCTGTGACTGTGACTGTCACTTTCCTTTTCCAGAGAGCCATCGCCAGCTGAGTTTTCGATTAAAAGCGCAATGTTTCAATTAATTCAATCTCAGTGTGAAATGTGTCACTCACATGTCCTCCGAGTGGGAAGGAAAGCGCTTTGTTGCCTATTTATGGGGCAGTCCCCCATGAATGGCAGCGCTCTGAATTCATTTCATACTCGTATTCGTATTCATTTTAATTTAATCAGGCTGGTCGGCGGCGCCGTGTCGCTCGACCATAATTAAGTTTCTTTGCGTAGCTTGGACCAAGGAAATCAGTAAGCACGCCCTCGTCGATAGCTCGACTAAAAGTTACCCAATAAAAGGGAAAATAAAACTGATTTATTTAATGGAGAGGATCATTCAATCTGTGATGCCAAAAAAACAGATCTCCATATACTATTGTGCAGATATTATTTTCTAAACTGTTTTCCGGTATTTTTTGTTGTCTTTTATGATTATATCCTATAAGAAAGATGATTTTTGATCAAAGGTTGTCCTCAAAGTCTCTCTTACGTTTTGAATTACTTACAAAAAACATTGTGTCTTAAGAATGAAACGTGCCGCCAGTATGGAAAACCCATAAGTCGTCGAAAGACCATATTTTGTAAGTATAATAATTTTCCACAACTCTTCTGTTACATACAACACACCAGCACAGGATACCTTCGTTCTTTGCGTTTGTCGGATACGAAGGAAGCAAAGATATAATGGAGAGAAATAAAATAAATCAGACATGTGTACCATATTTTACTGTGGTGCTGGCCCCCATCGATAATGCAATATAACGTCCTGGCAGCAGCACGTTTTTTAACATTTAATTGAATAAATAATTTCCATATCACCCTGCACAATACCACAATACAAGCATCGTTCAATTGACAATTTCAAATATTCGAAAGCGAACGGCAACGAGCATTTAAATATGAAAACATTTTCCACGCAGCATCTGCATATTGCATTTTGCCATTGTGTAATTAATTAAACATTTCCGGTGGCTCGTCAAAGTTTTCACTTAGCCTCCCCCCCAGCACCCTCGCACACACACACACACACACACAGATGAATGTCTATATATCAGGGAGGGTGCTCGGCCGAAAGTTTACCCTGAGAGTAATTAGACGACAAACTCCTCCCCGTACTCATAGTTGTTCGGGGTTGGGGTAGGGAGAACTCTGTCTGAGTGCTTAAAATGCTCCTTTGGCGTTAAATTTATGACAACCGCACATGTTGTTTGCCGCCTAAACAGTAACAATAACGGGCCATGAGGCAACAGCCAACAGCCAACAGGCAACAGCGTGCAACATAGAGCAAAGTCCGTGGTGGTGCGAGTGGGGTGGCCAAATGCTCGTTAGAAACTTTCTAAGGTTGTGGCGGTACACGGAACAGCTGCGCCGCCAAAATGGAAGGATTCTCCGAATTGTTGCATGCTTCCTCTGCCCCGATTTCTGGGGGCGGGGGTGGTCGGTCACAATGTTGCAAAAGCTGTCTGCCACGGCCACGGCTGATAAGCCCTGGCCCCTGGGTAGCGTACGCATACGCCGTCATGCACCGTGTGGTATGGCGTGGTGTGGTGCTGC